AGGATGTGAATCTTAATCTGAGTATTAAAATATAATTTTTTTTATAATACTAATTTTATAGGTTTCACATGGGTGCACACACAACTGAAAATAAACACCTCACTTTCCAGAATAACCAAGATAAGTCTTTGAGGGTTTCATAATTTACCCACAAATATATTTGTTAATTACCCATCTAATATGTGTAGAAGTGCATTACACCTGAAAGGCACTGTGAACCCAGAAATAATTATTTCTCCCCCATCGTAACGTTTCTACACAGAACGGCTATCCACACCAGCAGACATTTATCAATACTCAGAGACACCAAAACTGTGGTCTGAAAAATACTTACACTTGAGAGACTTACTAGTAAAATATTTCATCTCCTACTTTTCAAAGGGAACTTGATGATAGGAGGCTGCATCTAGAGATCACATGCTACAAATTCTTCTGAAGGTATGAAAGTTTGGCCACTGCTGTCAGCGATCCAGAATTTGCCCCGACATTCAGCCTCAGCTCTGCTCTCAGTAGGGGTCAGGACAGAAGAGATCAGCCTTTCCTGCAGCGTGACCGTACGCTTTATATTACCTATTATGAAAACAAGTTTTCCTGGATGCCCGTGAAGATGTTCGCCACGTCACCCAAGATGTATCATTTACTGCCTTTGAAATTTCAGTTTCAGAAAGCAGCAGAACACCTTGTGTTAAGAGCTGCTACCTCCAGTGGTTTCCTTTCTTACGTTGCTACCGCACAGGGGGGTGCCGAGGAGGTGGCTTTGGAGTAAGCACCTGGGCACACCTGGGAAGGGTGGGAAGCAAGGAGCAAGTAAAGGATGGAAAAAAAAAGAGTACACTTGGCAGGAGAAAAAGGGGTTAACGTTACAGTCTGGGGCTAGAAGGGTCCTGGCCAGAAAAGAGGATTGGGGAAGTTTCAGATGACCAGAATGCCTATATTCTGAGCAAACTTAAACAGCTTGGACTTCGCAGAAAGCTTTTCTAGGTTTATTATGACTGCGTTATCGTTTTGCTTCGTTCATTAATGGCTTTCTCCCAGATTTTCTAGGGGAAAATTTATGCTGTCCTAAATACTTTTGGCCAGGGTGTAACAACCCTACCCCCACCTCCCAAAACCCCAGGACTTCTCTACTTTGCAGGACTTCTCTGTTTTGTTAAACAAATATTTACTTTTTTTTTTAATTAAAAAATAAAAGCTTTTAAAAAACATATGCTGGATTCATCGCTACATACAGAAAAAGTGCCATTACTTTGAAAGAGAATGGCTGCAAACCAGGGAGTTTAAAACTACATACTCTTTTCCAGATGTGAATTCAGCCCTGGTGCTTGACAAGCATAGCTGCTGGCATAATTTACAAAATAAATGAATGATCAGGGTGTCTTCTGTAAAGCCTCACAGGAAACCAAGCAACTGCCCCAAGAAACAATTGCTAATCTGAACAAATTAACTATGTATTTGTATACACGCAGGTTTTTTTCCCTTGCTGTCAGAGGGCAATCCTACAACTAGGAGTACAAGTATTACACTACAGGCAGGGACTGTAAAACAAGTGTTGAAGCTTCATAAATTACTTAATTTATAGAAAACGAATGAACTGCTATGAAAACATGCAGTTGACACCCACCTGTTGAGAAAAGATATTACTTAGGTGTCCTGATGCACTTAGTTATCATCAGGAGAATGGGGGCATTAGGAATGTAGTCCAACAGAGTGGTTTAAATTCTTAAAAGATGTGTTCACTATGCATAGATATGCAAAATTACAGTGTCATTTTAAATGTAAATCCCTAATTACAGTGTCAAAGGTACCACTTTGAAGAGCAATATTCGACTACTACTACACCATTACACAGTGCCTTTACAAATGAGTACCAGGTTCTTTTTCTCAGAGAGGTTGCACAGAAAATCTGAAGCAAGAAAACAAGGCAGACATTTGAGACATGATTCAGTTAGAATAGGAGTCAACGCTTAATTTTCCCAGAGAGTAGCCTTCATTACTTCAACGGAAGATCTCAGAAGCACTTTTAGCAGCTTACTGGCTTGGAGCATCAAATAGTTACGTAGATTGTGGTCCAAAATACAGATGAAGATACTAAAACTGATAAAAGGTAAAACTATACATAGCACAGAAAGCTTCTATTTTTTTATTTAATTTTAACTTTTAGACTAAAAATGCTCTGTCCAAGTTTCCCCTTCTTTCATTTCTTCCCTCTCCCCCACCTCAGATTAATATGGAATCTTTATAAGAACAGTAATATTTCTGACCCACACCTTCAGAGTGCACCTTTTTGGTGTGCTCATTAATTTCTCCATCCATTATAATATAGGCTTCCTATAAAGCCTAAAAAAATTAGCCTTTGAATATCAACATTTTCTACTAATACAGCCATTATTATGACAGGCGATACTCTGTGATGCCACATGCACTTTTAACTCATTTCTGTATAGAATTTTGACTTCTGAACATATATATGCAATTGCAAAACCTCAAAGTCAAAAAGTAAAATAATTAAAATGGCAGCTCAGTTAGTAAAGAACAAAGTTTCAAACTGGTTTGGTCCCCTTCAAACTGTAGACCCAATTACCCTGCTCTACCTCCAAACTCTTTGTCTTAAATTACTTTGCCTACCAAAAGCAGAGACAGTTCCTTTCCAGTCCAGTAGTTGAAGAGACTGTACTCCCATGAGACATTTTAAAGGTCCTCTGACCAGCTGCATCGCTCTAGACAACCAGTTTCCCAGGTACGTTCCAGAAATTTTAAACTGCAGTAATTGAAAGTCAGCTAGCTCAGCTCCAGACCTCTTAGTACAGAAGGTTACTGCCTTCCACTGCTAGACATAGGCACGTCTTTCAAGCAATAATTAATGTTTTCAGCCCGTGCATTTTATACAATCATCTAACATACATATATACACATAGATACTTGCTTCTCATTCAAAAAAGGCTACTCTTATGAGACTGAATTACTATCTAGCTATTAGCAGTAGGTTTCTCTTGTACTGGTTTATCATAGGAAAACATCAGAAATGTCACTGATTTATTTTGTTAATGCTGCGGTTTGAGTTTCGCCACTTCGGAGAATTTTCATACTACAAAGTGTCAGTTCTTCAATTTCTTCCATTTCAACTATTTTTTACTATCCTCTGATTGCCTGCAATTGCTTTCCACAGTCAGTAGCATCACAAGAAGCTTCACACTTTCATTATTCACTGGACAAGCTAACAGATTATTCACTTTTTTCTTATAACATCATAGCTTCCTCAGGAGTAAATCAGTATTGTAAACAAAAGATGCAGGGAGAAAGGGATGTTTGGTTTTGTCTTCAATTTGCTGCCACTGTTATTCAAAGCTTACAAGGAGCAAGAGTTTAAAAAAAACAAACAACCCACCCAACTTTGAGTAGTCCTGTGACTTAAAAACTGCAGTTTCAAGATGGATTTTTAAGATGCAGAAATATACTTCAAAAGTAAAAGCCTGACTTGAGTAAGTTTTAAAGCTAGAGCACGACCTCTAGGTGGTGCTGACATCCTGTTATTCCATGAGGTTAAGGCACATGCCAGTTTATTCAACTATGTTCTGCCTTTGGCAGTTACCTTCAGGCACGTGGACTGCAGAATTAGCAGTTACAATTTCTGTAAATTTCGTATTCTAACACAGTGGGTTTAAATCTATAACCATAAAGAATAACTCAATCCCCTCTTCAGTAAAGGGGCAACAGCAAGCACACAGCAAATGAAAACATGCAAGACAGCAGGGAGTAAGACAGAGCACCCAAGTCATTTCAGTGACCACAGTTCAGGTCTCAACTGGCTGGGAAAGGTAACTAAGATTTTTAGGAAAATAATTAGAGGATCAAAAAGTTGAAAGCTAAACAGCAGAGATGCATGCAGTAAGACAGAACTAGAAATGGTATTTTCAGCTCCTTTAAATGAGTTTGAGTTGCAGCCAGTAATTGCATTTTATTCACATTTATTACTAGGAAGAATAAACTGTATTGCTGTACATGGATTAGTATCTAACTTGGTGTGCCAAGGACCTTACTGAAACTTCAACTCCATACTGCCGCAATTGGGCTGCTTTTGGAACTTAGTGATGTTAGGATAAAACTGAAAATGTCTAGTTTAAATGGGGATGGGCTACCAAAGGTATAATTGTATACACATTTCATACTAACTCTGGCCTGTGGTGCAACTGGTTAAAATGGAAGCTTCAAGACACTCAGTGCAGTGACTCCTCTAGAAGTCGTATGTTACAGAGTAAAAAGTTGGGGCCAACGGCATGCACATTTTGATACTAGTTTAACTGGAGATGTGTACATACCTGGAGTAATTCAGTCAGAAGATGTTGCAGTCAAAGTGGAATTTGGGTAACTGTGTACAGCCTATATAAAATACCTTATTCAATTACTGTTCTTTATCTGAAGCTTGCGTCCCGTTGAGACAGACCAATTAAATGTGCTGCTTCACAAAAAGGAAAAATGGACTTGAGAAATGCAGTCACTCAAGTGTGATGATGTCACACTGTCTACGATACAGACAGTGAGGTGCTTCCAAATGTCATATAGGTGCCATTATTTCAGGACAGCATTTTTGAGGGAGAACCTTTCTTATGCAATGGTATAAAAAAACCCAGAAGAGTGCATGTTACATTTTGTCCTCCTGGGGTGTTTTTTTTTTTACCCTTTCAGATGGTGCCTGAGTGTTTCCAAATGGTTAACTTGACATGACTATGCATCACCTCTTCCCTTCCATTGATGCAAAAGAAACCTGATTGATTTCCTTTGCATAACATGTAAAAATTCCACAGAAGAAACTGAGAACAGTAAAAGAAAGACAGCTCATTCTGTTAAATCTCTTTCTTAGGCTACACAGTCTGATCAGATTTGAAGAATTAAGAAGACGTTAGAGCTGGATAAAAGATAATCTGACCTCTTACATGCTAAAAAGGAATATATTGTTCTGATAAAATATTTAACACAGTCCAAGGAAACTCAGTCAGATGTTATTTTAAGTTACCCAAACTGATTTATTGACAATTTAAATGTGTCATATTTACAGCACTGTTTCTAAAATAATTTAACAATTTTCATAGATTTATAAAAGTACTGATAAATAGGAGACCCTGACAATTACCAACCACAAATATTTCCCTGTGCTACTGAACTACAACAGTAGTTCTTTTCTTTTTTCTTTTTTTTTTTCCTCTTTTTGTAAGTCCCATAAAGGAGCTGCTTTACCTCCACCCAATGTGTAAAATTGCCAATACCAAAATATAATAAAATGAACATGCAGTGTGAAAGCTGTACCAGAGCAAGTGATTTCAGATGTTAGACTACAGTAAAAATATTTCAATGCAAAGTGTCTTCCACACAGAATGTATTTATGAAAAAATAAGCTTTTAAAGAGCTATTGTTTTATCTTTATAGAAGTTAAAACCTACAATACTAGTACAGACATTTACAGTAACTTCCAATTCTGTGGTAGTTTTCACATATATCTAGAGTCAAACAAAACCAGTAATTTACAAACACCACTGCCTTAAGACAGTGGTTATTTAGCTTATGGATTAAAAAAAAAAAAAGGTGCTGATATAATTTAAAGTTTTGAAATTAGATGGTATCTCATTCTTATGTGACACCAATTATTCTATCCTTGGATCAACAAATTATTGTGGTAGAGCCATCCATATCTCTCAAGCAGGAAGTCAGTTTGGAAGTTGGAGAGAAGATGGACTTGTACGGTATCTATCTTAGGTTCCAGTAGACAAAAAGTATCGCAAAGCTGGACAATCTGAATCACAATAAGCAGCAGCATGAGATATTTGTGGGGTTTTGATTAAAGCAAACATTTTTAAAAAATGATGAAAAGTACACAATCTAATCCAATACTTGAAATGTAAAGGTTTTCACATCACTGAAGCCCCATAACACAGTGTACACAAACAACTATTCATTTTTTAAAAACATATTGCACAGCTAGTAGGTGCAATACCAGAACACTGGTATCCCTAGCATAAGTCTTCTATTTTAAATAGCTGTTTCGAACTACGCTATTCAGAACAACTCCAAGCCAACGTTCAAAACCATTAAGAATGGTTTGTGTACATAACTAATTCAAAAGTGTTTCAACAATGTGAGAAAAAACACAGGCACTTAAGATTATTAGTGCACCAAAAGTTATAGGCCACAATTGCATGACTATGAACAGTTCAGTACCAATAATGACAAGACTAAACGAGGAGGTCTTCCACTGATCAATATAGAAACAAGAACTGTTCACAAAGCACTGATAAGAAAACCATTCTCAAAACAGTAATCAAACGATACGTTTAGACATTTAAAAAAAAAGATTGCTGCAAAGCCTAATGTAACACAATATAAACCCTTACTTGGTTCAAAAGATCTAAAGTGTCCAAATTTGAAAGTCCAATTTCTCTTCTCCCCCCTCCAAAACACCATTACATGCAGTCCATTAAAATCCAAATGTGCAAAAAGTTATAACCCACCTTTAGGAGTGCATCAAAAATAGGCTGACTATTCAAAATATTATTTTAGTGGAAATTTTACAGCACCATAATTAGAATTCCAAGGGAGTTCAGAATTCTTGTTCTGATAACAAATCAGTTGACACTGTTGATCCTAAAGAACAGAAAAAACATTTTCTGCATTTCCTGGTATCTGAAAGTCGTGGAGAGAAACAATTCTCATCTATGCCTAAAATCTTACTGTAGTTCAAAATGAAATTAAATAATCACATTTGTTGGCAGTAAGTTCTCCACAATATAACATTAGTTGTAAATTTAGTAAATTTGCCAGATTAGGAATGACAAATTGCTGGTACCTTGCTTACTTGCAGAAGTACTTTTTTGTTTTTGTCTTTTTTTTTTTCTCCTAAATTGTGCAGTTTGGCCCCATCCTAGTAAGTGATTTACTGTCAGGCTTTGAGAAAACGCATAAGGTCCATTTATGACCCTCAGCTGAAAGGCAATATACACATTATATATACACGTGTGCACAGAAACACACACATACATATATAAAAATCAGTGTTCCGGTTTTTTGTTCTCATTTCCTATAATTTTCTTTGGTTAAAAGTCCGAGCAAGGAAATCAGAGGACCGAACAAATGGATCATTCTCCAAACACTTCCATCACTACACATCACTAACTGGAAGGCTTGCATCATCCAGATCCACAAGGCCAGGATCCTGTTCCTGAGTGCCATTTTTACTTTGGGGTTCCAAGAGGCCCCGTTCAGTCACTTTGGGAGCTGATTCTCTTGGAGCGACAACCTGGATCTTGTAGCTCCCTGGCTTGGCCTTGGTAAAAGATTCGTGAAATCCTCGCTTCTCCAAGGCAGGGTATTTGGCGTGAGGGTTTGGGACCAGAGGGCTGCCGTGAGTGGCTGTGGAATGTGAGGTGGCTGGGGCTGGGACGGCAGAACGGAGAGCATGGTTGGGTTCGGAAGAAGACTCGGTATGCTCCTGGAAAAGAAAAGCACACGTCAGAAGAAGTAACTGACGTCATGTTGGAAAGATGCAATTTCAGATTTCACTCAGAAAAAAAATTCAGGGCAGAAAATACACAAAGCGAAGCATCAGCCACAGCAGCAGGAGGCAGGTGCTTTCTCAAGGTGGTGTATTATTAAATGTGAGCTTACAGCAGTATGTGACAGCAACATCAGTTTCTTCATTTGAGGAAATTAAATTTCTCAAATCAAGCTCAGCGTCTCTTTAGACTTTATAATATATAGTCCAGCAAATTGAGGCTTCTCATTTTACTAAGATGCTAAGTAACCTTTTGAAGATAACACTTTAAAGGCCATTGAAAGTGACATATTTCCAAGAGAAAAATGTATTCAAAGGTATTCATACACATCAGCACTCGTATCCTAAATCCTGAAGTAATGCACATGTTACAGTTCCCTCTTCTTGGGGTACCAATCTCCTGAATTGTTCCAGGGACCAAACAAAAATAGTAACTATTTTATGCTATCAAGACTATGTAACAATTTCCAAAGTTAATGGAAACTATTCCTTCTAATTGTCAAGTTATTTTCTTGTGTTTATTATTAACTGCCATTCTGTTGACCTTTACATAACTCTATTAGATCAATACTGTGAAAATTATCTTCCACCATTTACTTAGTGATAAGAAAGAAGTTCCCAGACTACCTAGGAATGATTTAGATGTCTAAAGCATAGGCACAGAGTGCCATTTTAGATGTCCTAGGATATCCTCCCTGACCTCCAGCTGTATCTCCCGAACAAAAAATTCCTCAGGTTCTTCATTGTATCTATCAGTTCTGTAAGGATGTCTCACATACCTAAGGATATCTAAACCAGTGCTGGATACAGTGCTAAATGATATGATGAAAATGATGTGCGATGATGCAGTGAATACTTCCCTCTGCATGCATTAGGAGCTGCAGCTGCTGCCACTTCTGCCATCACCAGTGTTAGTACGTGAACTAAAGAAATCTGCGAACCCATGTGCGTACACAAATCAAGTCACTTTTCAAGCACATTTGTTAGCGAAAAAACCATCACAGATGTGTGTCCAAGATGCAAATATACATCCTAAATGAAACACTTATTTCTTCACAGCAGTTTTCCAAGTTTCTTTTCGAATGCTGTGACATGCATTCATAAATTTAATCATAATGGATTCCGCCAAGTACTACTGTATTTCTTTTTGTAAATTAACTAATATAATTGGGTGAAGGAGCTGTGCAACTTTTTTTGGACTTCAGTTTTGTGTTCAATCTCAGTGAAGTGTTTCACATTTTTTACATTGCCTTATTTCATACTTGACCTGATACTCCACTTTAAGAAAAATATTTGATTTAGGAGAACATATGATTCAGTGATTTCCCTACTATTCTTCTTCTTATTAATAATTTTAGTTCAACAAATAGGACAAAAATAAGGGATATTAGGACAAGGTCTCTATAATAAACTTTTTGCTAAATTGAACTGAAGGATGCTCAGATTTTACTACCCACACTGACTGTAATTTCACAGTTAAGAGACTATGCTGCTGCATTACTCCTAAGGTGTACTGCTTTGAACAGCATACCGATTATACATTATAATGCTTCTACGTTTGAACTAATAATTTCATGCAGAGACTTATAAGCCATGCAAATCAGGCTACAAAATTATCCTTCCAATTACTAGAGTTACGACGTGCATTTTTGTGTGCACGCATCTGTATTAGTTTGTGGGTAGCTTAAATTTAATTTTGCTTTTGCGCAGTTTCAAAAAAATGTAAAGTAAAATGGAAATATGAACTCTCATGCAAATTAGGTTTAATACTTTCCTATTAAAATGACATCACATAACTTACGTTTAAACATATAGTATGCTTTGAAGTATAAATACATGTTTTTGCCATTTTTAATTTCCAATTATTTTAAAAGTAAGAAAAAAAAGTGCAAACCTGTAAGTGAATGATACAATTTATGAGTTAGTTTTCAGTAATGGTAATGGCAACAGGTAGCATTATTTTTAGTTTTTTATAGTGCAAATTAGTCTCTAGTCCTAGCCCTCCGTTAAGAAGGCAAGTTTACATGAGAGCCCACATACGTGCTGCATTCACCAGTTCTTGATGTATACCTCTGTATACAAGGATTCGACAGCCTTCTGGCCTGCCGCATCTGGAACACAGTGCAAAGCTAAGATTAGAGTAACCTATACTTGGGGAAAGAAGAGAAGAGAGGGGAAAAAGAAGTGATGCAGACAGTAATAGCTAGATTGCTCAGTTAGCACCACAAAAAAAAGCATACACAAGGAAGAGGTATCTGCATATTTTCATTCCCCCAAAAAGAAACAAAATTTCCAATAGGAAATATTTTTTAAAAGCGTGAAGCAGCTCCCAGCTGCAAAAAATAATTGAGAGCTTAGATTGAATTAACAGATACGCAGTATCAATGCAAATGTGTAGTCAAAAGCCAGATTTCAATTATCAGATTTCAGATTATGGGGGTAATGATATATTCAGTTTATTACAAAACATCCCATAGCCAGAAAATGAAAACCATAGCTTGCAACATCTGAACTGTAAAGTATTCCATGTTAAATCTGGACATACTTGGAGACACTGTGACACTACAGTAACATTCACTGTTCACAAGTTAATGTACTTTGTACTGAACATCTAATACAGTTTAAATGCAAGTATGTATGAAATGTTAGCATCCACATGGCTTCACAAATATTAAGATTTGTCACAGTGCCTCAGTTCAGTAATGCTAGATGGTGTTCACACTACGTTTCCAACAGCAAAAACTAATTCATGCGAGCAGAGATCTCTTAGAGAAGTTACTTTAAATTTGAATCTATATCTGCAATAGAATAAATTATCAACAACAGAGAATGACAATTTAGTAGCTAAGAGCTGTTAAAACCAAATCAGGATATTGTCATTTGATTGCAAAATTCAGCAATTAGCAGGAATACCTCGCAGGAATTAGAAAGTTTCAATTTTACTCCCAAACTAGTAGTAGTGACAAAGATCACACTGAACTCAGAAGATTTTTTTTTTTTTCCTAGGTTAGCACTTGCATTATCCATCTGTTCAAGACAATACAATGCACAAAGTTACATACAGGTAAGACTAAGATAAGTGCTCAATTAAAACCGCAAATTATTTTATGCCAGTCTGTATGAAAGTTCATGCAAAGGTGCTGCATTACTACAGGACAGAACAGAGGACAGGTGAAAGGAAAAAACAACTAGAACTTCATGTGCACAAATGAATATCAACTAATCACATTTTCTCTGAGGTTCAGAATAACATACGGAAGCTGCTGATCTTCCAGGTCCCCGCTGTGCTACAATGGCCCCAGAAATTGCTTTTATCCAACTGTGCATGTCTTCTGGACTGTCCGCCTGGATCAAACAATATGCATTACATTTAACATAATCAACTCTCAACTTTCCTGGTGTCCTGACCATCTGCATAAAAATGACAGCCTTACCCTACTTTAGTAGTCTGTTATTTGAAGCCATAGGGACTTCCATTTCTTAAACCAGACATTTCTTAAAATCTTACCCTGAATTTACTATTATATTTATATGGTTCTATAAAATAATAAGCAAGAAATAAGTATTTTCATACTATTTGCATATTCTAGACTCAAATTTTTACTTTCAGCAAAATATAAATCAAATGCCCACGGAAATTCTTACAGGAGATCTGCCGACCCCAAAGTAGCAGACTTTGGCCAATGACATAACTTCTGTACTTCTCAGTCACTGTTGCACTTCACTTCTATGAGGTATTTACTGAAGAGTTACAGTCAAATAAAAATCAGTCTCTGTCAGGGGTCAGCTGAACATTTACTTAGAACAACAATCCAACAAAGATGCAATAGATTAACAGTGAATACCAAGGGTGTACATATCTGGGATAAAGACAGATAAAAAGCTAAAGCTATCTCCTAATTAGGTTGCAGCTTCATTAAACTAGCACATCCACCCAGCAAGATGTATCTGCAACGTGTCACCCAATTATGTTCTGCTATAGGACAGCTCAAACTCAGCATCTGGCACCACTGCTTGTATTGGTGTATTGGGCTTGCATGGCAAGGTTTTGGTAGTGGGGGGGCTACAGAGGTGGCTGCTGTGAGAAGCTTCTAGAAGCTTCCCCCATGTCCAACAGAGCCAATGCCAGCCGGCTCCAAGACGGACCCGCCGCTGGCCAAGGCCGAGCCCATCAGCAATGGGGGTAACTCCTCTGGGAGAACAGATTTAAAAAGGGGGGAAAAAACCTGTGCAACTGCAGCAGAGAGGAGTGAGAACCTGTGAGAGCCCCAGCCCTGCAGACCCCCAGGTCAGTGCAGAAGGAGGGGAGGAGATGCTCCAGGTGCCGGAGCAGAGATTCCCCTGCAGCCCGTGGGGAAGACCACGGTGAGGCAGGCTGTCCCCCTGCAGCCCAGGGAGGTCCACAGGGGAGCAGATCTCCACCTGCAGCCCGGGGAGGACCCCACGCCGGAGCAGGTGGGTGCCCGAAGGAGGCTGTGACCCCGTGGGAAGCCCGCACTGGAGCAGGCTCCTGGCAGGACCTGCGGCCCTGTGGAGAGAGGAGCCCACGCTGGAGCAGGTTTGCTGGCAGGACTTGTGACCCCACGGGGGACCCACACTGGAGCAGTCTGTGCCTGAAGGACTGCAGCCCATGGGAAGGGCTCACATTGGAGAAGTTCCTGAAGAACTGCAGCCCATGGGAAGGACCCACGTTGGAGAAGTTCGTGGAGGACTTCCTCCTGTGGGAGGGACCCCACGCTGGAGCAGGGGAAGAGTCAGGAGTCCTCCCGCTGAGGAGGAAGGAGCAGCAGAGACAAAGTGATGAACTGACCACAACCCCCGTTCCCCTGCGCAGCTGTGGGGAAGGAGGTGGAGAAATCGGGAGTGGAGTTAAGCCTGGGAAGAAGGGAGGGGTGGGGGGAAGGTGTTTTAAGATGTGGTTTTATTTCTCATTACCCTGCTCTGGTTTGATTGGCAATAAATTAATTTTCCCCAAGTCAAGTCTGTTTTGCCCATGATGGTAATTGGTGAGTGATCTCTCCCTGTCCTTTTCTCGACCCATGAGCATTTAGTTATATTTTCTCTCCCCTGTCCAGCTGAGGAGGTGAGTGAGCAAGTGGCTTTGGTGGGCACCTGGCACCCAGCCAGCATCAGCCCACCATAATTGGACTATACAGGCCTTTCTGATCCTACAAGAGAAACTCAAAACTTATTTCCAGTACCATAAGCATCCCATTCCCACACAGCTAGGAAAAGCAAGTCTCTGTGATTTGTATGATATCCAAACATTTAGAAGGTGACATGGTTAAGGATGCAGTGAATAAAGTACATATGGATACATATTACCAAATAGGTACTGAAATCTAATTGTTGCTGTGCTTTGGGAGATATTTTAATGTGGCAACTACTGGAAACTGAGAACGCAATTACTATACATAAAAATTCAGTACTTCAAAATAAAAGACAAAATATTGAGTTCATTCTACAGAATCTGAAGACCCAAATGCCAATAAAATCCCATTAGGATTTATTGTTTTCATACACTACCAACATAACACTTGCTGTTATGTGGAATATTTCTTACATGCATCTTTCTGAAATATGAGGATCACATTCCCTCTGAAAATCATGGCATAGTTAAATGCCACTTTAAAAGAAAATAGCAGCACTTCTTTGTTTTGATTATAGTAGTTTCTTGGTTTTGCCCAAAGTTTAAAAAAAGAAATTACCTGTACATAAAAGGTTCGAGAAGTTGTTACAATTTCAAAGAGATTGTCTCTCATCATTATATCACTGTAAATGAAACACAGAAAAATACTTCAACAGCAAGTACGACTTTCTATTTTAAAAAGACTCTAGGACATGTGGAGAACTAGAGCATTTGTTGACTGAAGACCTTTGTATTTCTTTATCACTCTACTGTTGTTTTTTTGGGAAATATCAACTAGAAAAAGAAAACCAGCATCTCTTACTCATTTTAGTCCTAAGACTCAATTTATAAGCGGCATGTGTGCTCCTATATATATTTCTAATTGGAACATTCTAAATCATATCATGTTAAGTTTAAAAATATTTAATGTTCTAGTTACATTTCTGCAAAATTTCACATTTTTATTTTGTTATGTCTTCGCAAAGTATTAGTCCTAAGCAGTAGCCTGCTAAAAACAAGAAAATCTACTACGAAGACCATTAACTCCTTAGTATATTGCCATTTGGTGGGAGGGAAACAGCAGGAAGAAGAGCATTCTGATCTAAATTCAGACGTTTAACATATGGTAATGTCCTCTAAAGGTTTAGCGATTATATAAGCAGAATAGAGACTCCTAAAATTGCTGCCTCAGATCAGACAGCACCCATGCATCTCCAACTCATGATTGCAGGATGCTCCTTTGCTCCACCCTTATCCAATGCATTTACATTCTACTGAATGTTACAAGTTTGAAACACACACTAGTGCAGAACCCTCAAAACCAGTTTTATACACAAAACTACTTGCACATCACACATGTATACATTAACTGAAGTTATTAAAAGGTTCTCCATTGTTTCCAATGAGCAGTCTGGCCATGACAAAGCAGTGTACTACATCCCATGTAACCACATCGGTGCTTCTGTCCTCACCTTTGCTTGCATTCCTGAACTTTATGGACCTCCTTCAGTGGTATAACCCTGAGAGGTTCCTTTTCCTGGAGAAAAAAAAAAGTGGAAATATTTCAGTAGAGCATATCTAACAACTAGAATATAGTCAAAAAGCCAGCGTTTAAGACAGTTGATGGGACCAGACTTACATAAATGACACTTTCAAGGCAGTCACTTATGCAAAAGGTGATGTTAACCAAAATTTGATTTGCTTCTGTAAGTATTAAACTAGCCATGGCACTTGCAACGAAGAGGAGGAAAAATCAAGAAGTAAAAAACCCAAAAGCATTCATTCACCTTACCATAATGGAGACAACCAGCCCTGTCCCCTTCCCCTAACTAGATCAGAAAATTCAATCTGGTGTCGTGATTATATTAATTTACTATGAAATGCTACAATACAAGATGCTTTGTTAATTGTACTGTGTGACATGGCTTTAAATAAGATGAATTGTATCCTATACTTAATACAATTAAAAATAGTCAAAGAAGTCAGTCGTATCAAAGCCTGTAAAAGAGCAAGTATTCTTAAAGCATATGAAAATTCTGTTACCATAACAAAAATAAGTGTTACAATTCTGTCAAAGTTTCACACAACAGGAAAAAAAGTGAGAACATTTAAACAGAAATACTTTCACTTTTGCCATGACAACATAATGTCATACATACTATTATTTTCCTGTGGTTGTTGCAGTAAAACACAAACAACAACTTACTTTACCTCCTAATGTGTTTTCTTTAAGCAATGTTACAATGGACTACTTCAGCTGGCTTCAGCTTATAGACAAAACAAAAGCTGTCAACTCTGGAATGATTACTTTCTCTACAATTTCTATTACATATACTTAAGAGATTTATGTTGTTATAGCAAACAGCGAATGTCACCCAAATATAACCATCCTCAAATGTCAGTTTTCATTAGATCACTTGTCTCTATAGCAGATCAGATGTACAGAGTTTAAAACTCAATGTTTTCAGTTATTTTGCCCCTCTTCCCCCTCTCCCCTCCCTGCTCTTCCTACATTCACTCATCCATTACAACAGTTTTCAAAGTAATACATCAAATGTGAATGGCAAGATCATCCTTGGAACACAGGCACCTGTTGCAGGGAAGACCTCAGCTCAGAAATGATAATTTTCGGAGTCTGATATTGCCTGTATTCCACTATGCTCCACCTGAAGACTGACAGGGGTTCTTCCTCAAACTGAAAAGGCATCATTAACAGGAAGGGATGGGCCACGACACTGAACAACCACAACAAAAAAATGTCCAGAATCTACACATTTTTCAATTAAAAAAAAACAACCAAAAAATCCAACATTTTTTACATTTTTGAGAGCAGAGAACTCAAATTTCTACAAATGCAAAACAACAGCACCTCAAGAGTCATCTGAAGTACTGGTGAGCAGGCTGGCTGTCAAGACAAACTAACTTCAAGAAAGAGCCATACTTGACTGAAGTCTGCGGCTATGGGGAACTGAAGTCCAATAGGAAGAAGTTTTCCAGAATTAAATGTCTGATGCTACACTAGCTCAATATGACCTCCATGCCACAGCCGCCTTAACCACGAATGCATGACAAACAATCTCTCTTGAACTTTTTTCCTATCTTTGTATTAGTCTCATTAGGAACAGGAGATCCTACACATTGCTGAAAGAAATCATTCACCACTTGAAAACTTCAGAAGAGAGAACTTTATGCCTTTTGTGTTTGTATGACATAAATAAAAGTCTGATGGACATACAGTTAAGTTGTTGCAGGTGTTTTCTTCTTGGTGGGCTGCATCCTGTGAAAGTTTTGCTCTTTCCAGTATGGATTAAATGTCTCTCCAACATGTATGTTTCAGAGAAGGCAGATGCTAATTGTTTAAAAAACTATATGAAACATGATTATCATTATTAGGTTTCCTAACCATGGAATTCTTTGGTTAACCAATAAAAGGACACTATTTTCTCTATCTATTCAGTGCGTATTTCCTTGAAGACGGATGACTCTTAAAATGGAAAAAAATAATTTCAGTAAAAATTGTGAAGCAGGATCTACTTCCCTGTTGTCTGACAGCTGCTCAGTCCAGTACCTTCCTCAAACTGCAGCAAGGGGATATTAGCCTGAAGAGTAGAGGACACTACAAGACTTTATATTGTTCAAAACAGTTAAACTGGAAAGGAGCACGATGAAATTCTAAAAGTGTATGCATTTCTACCATCTTTCTAGTATACTCTCACACAGTACAATTCTTCACTGAATTAGAATTTGCTTGCGAGCAATCTGCACTCAGATTTTTTTTTTAAATAAAAATAGAAGGTTTATTATAGGCAATGAGTCAGAATTGTGTTATGCTGACAGTTTAACAAAGATAACGATGCAAGATCAAACTCCTGCTATTGTTGTATACTCCCTCATTAAAAGTAAAGCAAAAGTTCTCTTCAGAAACAGCCTGAAATTCGGCTTCTTGACATTTTACATCTTACAGTTGGCCTGTAAACTCAATTTTCCTTAATTTATAATACTCTACAACTTAGACTTCATTCCTTAGGTGGATTTTCTCATGTTTGGTAAGTGTGGGATTCCTTTTGGGGGAAAACAGACTGTCTCCAGTACCAGCCACTTCATTTTTAAATGAAGCCTGAAGGCACTTAACATTTGGTCAAAATTGGTCAAAAGGTTAATGAGTGATGAGTGGGGAAGAAAGATCATGAAATCAAAACAAACTCTGTAAGCGTTGCTTCTGAACAACAGAGTTCTTTGCCTGCCTTGGCTGCCCTAGTGAAACCAGTGTGGGGGAAAAGATCCCATCATTTGTATGACAAAACACCCCATAATTCTAACTTTAAATTAAGAATTGCAAGATTAGTTTTGTCTCTGCACATAATGATCAGCTGTTTCAAGAACACAGTTAATTATATGTGAGTACAAAGTGACATAAGATACTAATACAAAAATCAGGGTGATTGTAGAATATAACCTGTTACTGTTCTTCAGTGCCCTACAGACAGGCTTCCAAACAGAAGACTGAAGCCCGAATTAACAGCCACCCTATTAATTTTTTGTTCTTCCAATCATGAAAAGTTATTACAGCACAGAGTTAAGAGTTGCACAGCAAATTTTTCAAATACAAGCATATTTCTTTATATTTTCTCACAACTATCACCAGAAAATAACACATATTTGGAAACTTACCAGTTCAGACTTGAAATATCCTATTGTGTTTTCATCTAACTGAAAGTATCTTCTCTTCCAGTTCTTCATCTGTTAAAGGAAAATAAAGAAATATTTATGTATTTTACACATAAAATAAAAATATACTTACATGTTATATATTACTCATTTATATATTTATAATTCTAGTTTACATGTATAATATTATATTGTATAATTCCTATTTATGATTATTCATATATAATATTTATCATTCATATATATTATATATTTATGTCATGTGTATATAGATATATCTAGTGCCCCAAAAAGAATTCTGCAAGACTCTGCCCAGTGAATTTTTTTTTTTTTTTAAACTGCAAAAATTAAAAATTCTGGAAGCTACTCTTTTCTATTACAAGAATTTTTCAACAATCTCCACCAAAACTGTAGCAACTCAGCAGCACAAATACCCCACAAGAAATGTTAAGACAGTACATTAAAGATTTCTAGTTTATTTTTAACTAAAAAAAGGAATGTTACAAAAAGAAGCTTCATAATCCAAGATAAAATGAGTCTGAGAACTCACGAAACATGCATATCTTCCTTAATCTGAACTATCTGTTCCTGCTTTTAGCAAAGCATCATGTGAACAGTTCCACTTGTGTTAATCAGTCTGACAAGTTGTATAATTCTTCCTCAAAAAATTAGCTTTTTCTAAACATTTTAGTGATTTAAAAAGCATGTAGACACTGAACTTCTGCCTTAATTTAGATGCTTCTAGCAAGTGAAGTAAGGATCTCTACATTAGTGTAGAGCAGAAGAATTCCTAGTTGCATGCACTAACCATAATGTGAAAGTCTCTGTGCACACAACTTTTCCTCTCCAAAACATCTCCAACAACGTAACACTGAAGAAAGTCATGAAAAGAAGTAATACAGACATAAATTACATGCTACTGGATGATAAGTTTTATCTTTAGCCATCCTTAATATTGTCAGTAGTGCTAAAGTTATTGGTATTTATGTCTTTTTTTTAAATCATCTACTTGATAAGTGTAACTATCACCTTAGGACCTTTGTTCTTGATTAATTAAACACACCGATCTCAAACACTTACCACTGCTCCTTGTTTTACACAGTAGCCAGCTTTGATGATAGCATTATCTGGGGGATGCTTAGCAGTGAAATAAGGAAGGTGACTTTGTGACCGTTTCAGGTAATTCCTATCAGCCCCGTCACTGCACTCACTGATTTCTTCTTTCTAGAAAAAAAGCAGGGAAGTTCAGAATACTCTCAGTTTTTTCTAAAGGTCAAAGAATAACTGTACTAGTTATAATAGGAAATAATTGCATCATCCCATGCTTACAAATCCCATTTCCAATTTGCTTGAAAGGATAAAAAATTTCAACTGATTTCCAGAGGCAACTCATGAGACTCTCCAAGGGCTCTGGTTGAGTACTTGCAAGCTCCATTTAGAAACTAAACTAAGAAAGTGCTGAGTATTCTCAAACAATATTGACAGACACTCAATGAAGAATGCTACAGGCCTAAACCCAAGATATATGCATGTATTTAGTGCAAACTTGTTCTGTGTTTTTAAGGGCAAAAAACTAGATGTGGCTACAGCAAAGAAAAAGCTATTTCTAGGACCATAAAACACACCAGAATTCACCAACTTTTTAAATGCAGTTCAGGTGTATACATGTCATTTACACAGTATTAATCCCATCTGTAACTCTCTTCAGCTCAAGGAGCTTCCAGAAACAGATACAGGTCTATATCTTTAATGCTGCATAGATTCTTCTTCCATGAACTTGTCCAATCTCTCAAACTCAGGAAAGTTTCTTGCATCCATGCCACTTTTTGGCAAGCACTACCTTATGTTTTATTATGCATGGAAAGAACTCCTTCCCTTTGTTTCACCTGGTTACACCATTAGCTTTGTTTAAAAGCCCATAGCTCTCAAACTGGAAAAAGACAGTTTATACCATGCACTCCTGCCAATTGTGATTTTGTAGAGCTCTTATATCCTCCTTTAGTTATTTCTTTAGCACACGGAAGAGTACTAGCCTAGTCAATTGTTCCTCATATGGAGATCATTTCACATGGACCAATCATGCTTGAAATTTTTCTCTGAACCTTTCCAGTTCTAGTTTAAGATGAGAACAAAACTGGACACAGTAATCAAGGTCTGGTCAAAGACAGCATTTATACAGCAACAAAGATTTTTCTGTTTTGCTCCTTATTCTTTCTCTAGTAACTCCTAACATTTGTGGCATTTTTCCTTCACTGTTACCAAACACCAAGATGATGTTTTCATAGTATGACTGTAACTCTTACCTCTCACTCAAGTGGAAATGGTTATTTCACAATCTAGTTTTTTTTATAAAAAGTAGGATTGTTTTTTCCAGAATCCCTTACATCACATTTATTTTCACTGAATTTCACTTGCTATCTTATTTGTCCACACATGCTATTTCATAAGGCCCTTCTGCAATAATTTAATCTGCTGTCATCCTTACTCCCTCTAATAAATAGTGCATATATAATCAGCTGATTTAATCACCTCCTTTTTTGCTCACTTTTCCTGGCAGTTAAAAAGACAGAACTTTGGCATTGTTAACACCAACAATTCATTTCACACACACACACATAAAGATGTTTTAAGCATACTAACCAATATCTGTAAGCAAAAATCAATACTCAAGTAATTCTTTATAGTCTTGTATAATTCTCTATAATCTTTTATAAAGGGAATAAAATACTCAAAAAACCCCAGTCAGTATCAATAAAAGGTGCACATCAAAGTTTAAGTCCTCTGAGCAAGGTGAGAAGCTGACAGCTATATTGCGATACATTACCTATTCCCACCTGTCAAACAACAAAGCTTCCTCTATCAATAATAGCCCATTTGTTTTAAGAGTATTTATTACCTGGGTAGGTGTAATGATAGGAACACCGCCAACAATTTCTGTCCTGTAAGAGACTTGCTTCTTTCCACCTGGGCTTTCAGCTTGGCGGTTTGCATTATCCATTTGACAGAGAGGATCAGACTGCTTTGGTACCTGAAAGTGGAATATGATAATTAACGTAAGTTTTATGAAGACCTAAAAAAGCCCTTATCATTACTCAAGAATTTTTAATTTGTCTTCAGCAGGATTTAACAAATGTTCTCTAATTGTAAAAGGCTAGAAATATCTTACATGAAAATTTGTTGCAATGGCTATGCTTTAGTTCTAAAAAGAAAACTGGTGCCAATAAAGACATTTCACCAGGTGTCTTGAAATCTAAAAATCAATTCCCAGCTTTGCCGTGCTATACTTGATCTTCAAGAAGCACTGCTAATTTGTAGAAGAACTGGTTCTTTATTTTTCACTTGCTTTCAGTTTTAGTAATAAGTGCTTTAGACTGGAGACGCCCCAGTGCCTGTAGAGCTAGCAGTAAGGCCACAAGCAACAGGGTTACAGTATTAAGACTTTTGTCAAATAGGATGCCTGATCAGTATGATATTTGCACTCACATTCCAATACTTGGCATGAAGACTGTGTGTACTGCCTCCACTAACCCTACATATATTGCTAAATTCAACAAAATGACCCTAAATACCATTAACTATTAGGTAATTCTCTCAAATGTGGAACTAAAGCAATCAAAATACCACAGGAATTGAATTTCCCCAGTAAGTGTTTTGATCTAAAATGTGTACCCAAATTCCTGAGTTTGTGCAAGAAGTAAACATCTGTAACCTAAGAAATGCACTAACTGGCTACCTAAGACATTTTCATTTATAATCTCCTTTCACCCCTAATATTAATATAGTAAGTCTGAAGTGACTTCAACAAGAAGAGATCAAGAGACTTACACCAAAATATCCTAGCCAGCAACCTACTGGATATTTACACAGGACATCCAAATTCCTTCAGAAAGAAGGGACACACAAATTGTCTTTACACAGTGAATTACTATGCAAGACTGTGGCACATTTAGAACTTGAAATTGAACTTAACTAGACAAAAACAAAGCTACTTTATAGTCTGCTGTGATTCTAGTTCCTATGCCCAGGACTGCTTATTTAAAAAAAAAAAACAAACAAAAAACAAAAAGCCCACAAAAAACCCCAGCCTGCAAAGAAGTACAAACAGTCCTGAGAGCACCAATGTCAGCCAAGTGAAGGCGGCACTCAGCATCTTGCTCAGCTGTGACGTCAGGCTCGTTTCGTTCTCTCACCTCCACCATCACCTTAGCCTTGCACAACACCCAGCTTTGCTAGCACAGGTAAAAGGTGACTCCATTCACAGCCAAATCTGGCACTGAAGGATAAGACATTCTCCTAGTGCACAAGGATCGTGGGCCTCAGCCTTTCAGGAGAAGGGGCTTTGTAGCTACAGCTTTATGGGTGCTTCAGCTGTCACAAACTCCTACTTAAAATGTTACAGACCAAACCCACATCCACCTTCTCGTATGAATGCATTTTCAAACAGTACTCATAAATAGGTACACAACGTGCCAGACTGCAAAGGTTCACAGTTACTTGAAATCATCAGCACTCAGAGTATTAAAAAATGCAACGACTCTTGGAGGATTACAATCTACAGCAAGTAATGCCCATATGAAAATTAATAATTGAATTATCTTAATTATTTGATTAAATAATTGGCCATAGTAAATAACCTCTGAACAGATTAACAGTTCAAAGGTTTGTTTCTTCAAAGACAAAATATACTAATGGTTCCACCAGTTAAACATATGATAAAACAGCTTTCAGACTAAATTCTAATTTGATGCAATTAATTCTTTATTCACCCTATTTCTTGAACTGGAAACAATTCAAGCCTGGTTGTGGTATGTCCTCTTGAAAAACCCAAGTGAGAAGGCTTTGCGTTTCTGGGGTTTTTTTATTTATTATCATTAGTAACATTTTTGTAACTACAAAGAAAGGGCTACATTAAAACAATGCAAACAACTCACAGTAACATGCTTAGATGTTTCTAAAAATGAGAAAGTTACTGACAACAAATACGAATGCGTGCACCCATGCTCAGAACCCCTTCTTCGTAAGGGTATGCTCTCAAAACAGTTCATGCCATCACTTCCCTGAAACTGGAGAGAAAAACCCCCTTAACTTCTGCCTCCTGAAAAGACTGAGGTAATACGTGGGTTTTTCTATCATGTGATAACAAGCTGTCCTGGTACAAACCAGAAAAGTAATTCAACACTTATCAGAAGAGTGCATTAATGTTTCTTTGAATGGATGTTACTTGAAATCAGGAGAGAGCCTTTGGAACCTGGCATGATGTGTTTGCTCGTTATTTTAGTGATTACTTTAAGAAATACAAACTTTTGACACCAGGCAAATGTATGCGTATCTTTTCATTGCTTGCAAATGTCTTCTGGATATTTCAATTAATATTAAATGTGTATGGCTAATTTTAATTTATTAGAAACCACCATATGCTGTAATGAAAAAGATAATCACATTTTTGTCCAATTTTCAAAGCAAAAATTAAAATAAAGTCAAGTTTAGGGGGAGTTCTGTACAGTTTCTCCAAGTCTTGGAAAGCCAAGGCAAGACTTGTTTGTAGAGATAAAGACTACTCTAGCATAAAAACTGGAGACAAAGGTTACATTTAAGCACCTTGAGACAGTCACCATTTGAAAGCATTGCTAAATATCAACTAAACCACTTACTGTGATTTTGGTAGCTTTGTTCAGAACATTTACCCATTCAACTAGGTCCTGCTGATCATTGGCTTGTAGAAAGTATTTTCTCATCCCTGCATTCATAACTGTTAAAAACCATTGTGAAAAGTTAACAACACTGAAATTTAAGGGCAAACTTAACACCATCACAAAAAGATTTGATTTCAGATGGAAAATCCAGTTGAAGTATTTGAGCTCTCTGCTGCATTTCTTTTTAGAAAGTCCTAAGATACATACATCTACCTGACAGGCTTGCTTTATTCTAAAAACCCCTAATTTTTTTTTTAAGCTCTCCACTTAAACAGCATCATACAGAACTTGTTAAATGATTTTTTTAGTACATAGAAATAAAGCCTTGAATTTTATCAGAATTTTCTGCAGCTCCATTTCCTTTTTCTCAATTTCCATAAGCAACAAAGTTTTATACTTGGGGACTTCTACAGTTACTCCTTTTCATCCTCTGACCAATATCTGTTATCCTTGGCAAAAAACTCATTAACGTGACTACGACCACTGATTTTTATTCTTTTTTTAATTTGTGGAGAAATTGGTATTGATTACTAAGTATATGATGCTTAGGAACAAACAACTTTAAAATAGCCAGAACATAAAACTTTATTTTACTTTAGTGACTTGGCAGAGAAAGCATATTTTTAGTAAGTTTATGTATCTACCTGGCAACACCTAGCATACCTTTATCCAAAAAGGACAAACATATTTCTGTATAACAGTGAAAAAAAAATCACGGCTAGTTTTCTCACAAATTCTAAGAACTTATCCTGAAATTAATTTTAAGGTGAACAGCAACTAAAACCTTTCCAGAACTTTGAAGCGTTGCAGCTGAAGTCTGAACAGGTTTTGGTGCTCTACCCATAGCATAACAGTTCTTCATTCAGGTCATCGCTAACAGCAAACACATGCTAGAAACAGGTACTTTTTACTCTTCTATCATCTTTCTCCCCAAAGTCAATGGTTCAAAGCAAACATTATTAGATGCAAATATAAATTCACAATACAGAACTGTATAATGAGTTGACTGAAACAACTCCCGCTATTTAAATAAAAAGACAATATATGTAAATTTTTCCTCTAAAAAGTATCAAAAACGCTTTAATAAACCAGAAATATTAAAAGCTTTCAGGCAGCATCTTGGATCATTACGGCTTTATAGAGCTGGCCCACTGACAGGAGCAACTTTACAGCTGAAGACAACAAACACCTCTATACATGCATGTGCAGAGGCATCTGTAGATGGCACTGAATTGACACACTAGATACTATTCTAGAATCCCTGATTCCTTACACACGGAGGTAATTTACAAAGTGTTTCATGAGCTCTAACACAGAGACTGCACAAGTCCGGTGGAGCTGCCTTCTCTGGGCCTGTACAATACTGCACATGCCAAAGGACACCTTAACCAACTGTCATAAAACCTTCAGGCATTTTCAGTACCTTCATCTCAGCTAAAACTCTTACGTGAATGCAGCCATAAACAATGGTTATTCATAAACAGAGCAGAGGCTGATTCCAGTCCCTACACATACTTTTGTGAATGCCAATTGCTTGTCAAAAAAATCTGGAATTATGGTAAATTTTGGACAAATTACTTACAAGAAAAATCTTAAAAAACCACCATAAGGGGCTTTTATGGTTATCTAAAGCTTTCCTCAAGTTTAAACAAGTTTAAGCATCAATAAACCTAGAAGGTACCCCAATCAAGTTCTTTTTCTTTGGTACAGCAATAGAGCCTGAAATTTAATGTAAAGGCATTGGCTGACAGTAATTTTAGATCAATTAAACTCTTTTATCAGTAATACAGATTAAAATAGTTAAATTACTTGTCTTCATAGCTGACAGGCATGCCATGTTTCTGAAAACATCTATCATTTTTGATTAGCTTATTAATGCCTGAAAAATTTAAACATCTGAAAAACAACTCTCACCTACTCCTCATCAAGCTGTGATACGAAAAGCCACAAAAAACATGAAGAAGCCAACATTTCCCTCATACTAAAGAAGAAACAGTGAATCCAAACTATTAAAAAAAAAAATCAGCTGTAGCTAGTAACAGAATTGCAGAACATTATCTTTGTTTCAAATTTCTGAAGAATGTACTTGATGCACATGCCGCATGCAAGAACTTACCAAAACAGAATTCTGCCTTTGGCCTTAGCTTAGTTGCATCGCTAACCTAGTAGGGAAATTAAGATTATAAATATAACTGTGCATACAAAATATACATCAGCTATCACAATTTTTTTTTCTCTTTCAAGTGGCTAAATTTGAAGATTAGCAGCATAGCAAGCTTGTTAGGTATAAAGATATACAGATATAACAAAAAATACTATATATAAAATTCAGTTCAAGACATGCAACCTATGGTAAGAAGACAGTTTAAGCTCTATGTTCCTATTCCTTAAGTTTAAGGATTCATTACCAGGCAAATCCTGAAATCTGAAAACATAACACTTCTACTTGCATTTTGCAGTTCTATGTCTCAACTGAACTAAAAAATCAAGGACATTTCATACGGTCAAGAACATCAGTTGTATTTTGGTTCACCAACAAAAAAAGAGTAATAGCCACTTTTCTTCAGGAGTCTCTAAAATGTTGCAGTGTTAGGGGAGGAGAGAAGCAGGTGTCCCGTTTTGAGATTCTTGAGATGATAGACAAGCTCTATCATGTAAAAAAGTCAACAAGGGTGGGGGAGAAGGCAAAGCAGTCTCTTGCATCAAAACCTTTTTTTTGGCCAGAAACAAACAAAAAAACCCGTACTACTAACTAGAAGAACAATGGAAAGTTAGACAGAGCATCTGCACAGGAGGCACACTTGAGCTGCCTTCAAAGGTACACACAGGTGAAATGGCACAGGTGACCACCCCTGCTCCCACTAAAACCAACATACAAGATTTCAGATTTCTTAAGATGAAAACTGTGAGGGTTGGGGCAAAGTAAGCATAGGAGGAGGAGACCAGGAAGGACATAAGCAGGTCTCCACAGACATTTCTCTACTCATGATATAACCAGCATCAATATCTTTCACAAGAATAAAAAAAAAAAAACAAAAAACCCCACCATAACAAGGAAGGTGGGAAGATACAGTATGACAACAAGAAAAGCAAAGGAAGGATGAGAAATAAGCAGAAAGACAAGAAGAGGTCAATTATTTTTCTCCACTTATTTGTTAATGCAGTATCTGCTACAAATTGAACCACGGAGTCTTAGTTCAGTTTACTTCCAGACATATTTGGAAGTGAGTGTACACAGAGTAATGAACTAAATATTTTCTAGAAATTTTCCTGCTCTATCTATTAAAGATCATTATTACTTGCAAACTATCACACCCAAAGACTTATCTCCTGCTTCATAAATGGCCTGTCTTTTCTCCAAGACCATTGGAATTCAAATACTCATAAAGAACTGAAACATACAGTTCAGAAATATTAATTCTACACAGCACAAAGAGCTCCCATTTGAAATCACAGAAGAAACCTAGGCAACACCGTAATTAGTCTGTTCTTATTTTAACCTGATACTATTGAAGTGTTTGTAACACATCTCTGAGAATCGGGAGCAGCACACAAGCAAAAAGCTTCCCATGCACTACGTAAGAGGCATTTAAAATTGTCTAAAGTTAAGGCCTTCAGAAGCGGCCCTTGGTAGTTATCACGAAAAACTTAGCAACAAGTGTCTTAAATATTATCTTACCTTTGAAATATAGGTAAGTTTAATGACTCCAACAGGTGGAGATCCAGAGGGAAGATTCTGAAACAAATCATATGTTACAAAGTGAAACTTGTTTATTCTCATATCACAGTCAGTGTTTACGCATAAAAAGCAAATAATTCCACAAACAAAAAGAAAATCCTACCTGTTTTTATAGACAATACACAATGTATGCTTGAAACAGGATCTAAACTACTTGTTTATTATACACACATCTGTTAATCAACTAAAAACAGAAAGACTGCTAGAAACAATACAAATAGTAATTGTTTCAGAAGTTTATGTATTTTACTAGAGGAAAAAGGATTCTTGCAGGTCTGCATCCAGGAAATCCGGAAAGAATACTTCTTCCTTAACAGATGTTGGCATCTTATGTATTTGACCAGAGCAGGCGGAAAGGACAAGAAGTGACATTCATCTATTATGTCAGATACTTCAAAGGCCATCTCACGTATTTTCCAAAACAGATTGAAAAATCATAGTCTTTTCATTTAATATTAAAGTTATTGCAGGGAAAGACCATGATACTTCCTAATATTGCAGTTAAGCCTAAGTATATTTACAATCCAAAAAGGAGCTGTCCGTTCTTTCTACATCCTTGCTTAACATACTAGTCCTAACATTTACTTTACTATTCACAATCAGCTAGTAGCCTAGAAATACAACAGTTAAAGCACTGAGCATCACAAAACACAGCTAACTTTTTTATTAACTGTTTCTGATGAAACAGTCCTCCTAATTTTATTCCTTTAAATAGAGCATTGTTTTCCATACACTTTTTTCCATTACAATTTTTACTTTAAAAACGGCCCTTTAGGTTACAGTATCATCCTTCATACTCCAAACCTCCCTGGAGACCATAACAACGGTACTGCATCTGCTTGCTGATCCCTTCCCCAGCTAGAGTGCTCTTCATTATTCCATAGGGCCTTATGAACTTCTACATTGCGAAGAGGAGCCTAATGCTACCCACAGAGTCAGAAAGGCAGATAAATAATTGGTTTATACTACATTCATATTTCAAAGGTAAGAAGTAGGTTAGGTTTACTATAGACTGCTAACACTGAAACTTAAAAAAACAAAAGGTGTTCCCATTCTGCCAAAAAAAAAAATCAATTTAAGTTTTACTTTATCAGAATGATTTTGATCCCAGCATACACCAGTTTTATAATCTTTATATTAGGATAGTAATGTGTGGTTAATGGTGGACTTAAAAACCATTATTTCTTTGAACAGCTGAATTGGTTTTCAGATGCAAATAAAGCACTTCTATCAGCAACAGAGGGCCCAGTGAAGTTCTGCACTGTCGTGGTTTAACCCCAGCCAGCAACTAAGCTCCACACAGCCGCTCGCTCACTTCCCCTCCTCAGCTGGACAGGAGAGAGCAAATACAACGAAAGGCTCGTAGGTCGAGGTAAGGACAGGGAGAGATCGCTCACCAATCACCGTCACGGGCAAAACAGACTTGACTTGGGGAAATTGGTTTAATTTATTGCCAATCAAACCAGAGCAGGGTAATGAGAAATAAAGCTAAATCTTAAAACACCATCTCCCCACCCCACAGGGACGGGGAATGGGGGTTGTGGTCAGTTCATCACATGTTGTCTCTGCTGCTCCTTCCTCCTCCCCAGGGGGAGGACTCCTCACTCTTCCCCTGCTCTGGCGTGGGGTCCTCCCCGGGCTGCAGGTGGAGATCTGCTCCCCTGTGGACCTCCCTGGGCTGCAGGGGGACAGCCTGCCTCACCGTGGTCTTCCCCATGGGCTGCAGGGGAATCTCTGCTCCGGCACCTGGAGCATCTCCTGCCCCTCCTTCTGCACTGACCTGGGGGTCTGCAGGGCTGGGGCTTTCACATCTTCTCACTCCTCTCTCCAGTTGCACAGGGTTTTTTCCCCCTTTTTAAATCTGTTCTCCCAGAGGAGTTGGCCCCATCGCTGATGGGCTCGGCCTTGGCCAGCGGCAGGTCCGTCTCAGAGCCGGCTGGCATCAGCTCCAGCGGACATGGGGGAAACTTCCAGCAGCTTCTCACAGCAGCCACCCCTGTAGCCCCCCCACCCCCAAACCTTGCCACACAAACCCAATACATGCACACACCGTAGACTCATCCTATATGAAGGGTTTCATCACTTCAAGGATGAAGAATGGTCTCCACATATTGGCTCTATAAAAACTCTGTTGTTCTTCAAAACTAAAGCATTGGAAGAAAATCAAGAAGCTTCAACTTGCCTCTTGCAAGGCACCCTTTCATTTGTACATTAATAATAACACACAAAAAAAAGGGTAAGAAATCCTAAACTAAAAACTTTAAGAGGTGTGCACTGCAAATATCATTAATCTTAAAACTTCTGAAGAATTGTAATTTCTACAGCATTTCCAGCTTTTGCCCACATGCCCTGGTTATATCAGGAGAAACTGAAAAAAAGAATTGCTTCGTATCACTTACTGAGATCAAATGTTTGAAGTCTCTCTTATATCCAGAAATTCTTTCTTTTTTCTCCTCAGTGGGGACTGCTAAATGCTTCAGTCACAAGTCACATTCATCGAGCTGCCCATCCTTTAAATTTTTTTTTCATTGGTTCCTTTGAACAGTAGACTACTATTGCATTTTAACTCTGGTCTCCCTGGCAGAATGGTACACAAATATTCTTCTGGCAGACAGTTGTCAGCTGACCTAGATCCTACGCTTTCACTGTCTCCGTACCCAAACCTTAAGGAATTATCTGTTGTCCCCTATGCTAGAAAACACACTGATGTGTGTACATTGTAAAAGTAGCTTTTATATAAAGGATGCCCTCCACCATGATGGATAAAAGCTTTCCTCATTCATATACCAATCACGCTGTATTGAAATTGCAAGCATCATTAGAAATTGCTTTTCAATGACTGATTCTGTTGTGGTAAAGTAATATGAAACAGCTAGTTGACCCACGCAATGCAAGGAAAACTACATACTTCCACATAAGGTTAAAGGTGAATTACAAGACCTGTGCAGTGAAACTAGTATGTGATTCAGTTCATCTGCTTATATTACATGGCACTACCTAGTGCCTGCAAGAACCTGTAATGCACATTCAAGACACCTAACAGAAAATAAATACAGCACATCATGATTCAAAACTAATGACTGATCTATACATGGGATCAAATTCAAATTCCCATCTGATCCCTAAATCTCCTGTCAATACTTATAATGTTGGCAATTAAACACAAATATTAACTCTATTCTTTCTTTAAAAGACTGCATGTATTAGCAAAGAAGAAACACTAATTTACAATTATTTCACTTCTGTAACTTCTCCCCTCCCCACCCCCAGCTTCCAGGTCCGGAAACTAATACTAAATCCCATTTCTCTTAAGTAAATTTGTTTAAAAAAATCTGAAAAAGTGGAAATTGATAGAAGCCAGGAAACTATTACCAAGGACATCTCACCTGTGGGTTATCCATGTACCACACCAGACTGTCTTCTCGTGTGTCCAGAATGAAGTACCGCCGCAGAAATTTCCCACTATTCTCATTTTCTTCAATATCTAGGAAACCACAAATGCGATTCTGACGATCCACATAAGGCATTTCTGACCCTGAACATCACACTGCAGAACAAAAAGCACTGAAGTTAAGCAAAGTTCCTTGTTACTAATTTTAAGACTGTTCTGTGCCTACCCATGACATTTTGAGCAGTTTCAACTAATAGCTTAAAGAAGTTTCTGCAGAAGAGTAAGTGAAGCGTAGCTGTTTCCCCTCCCACTATCAGCACTGAATTTTTAGATAGGTCTTTCTTACTTCTTTAAAGCATATACTTAGGGTATCTAATACTCTAAGTGCAAAGATACAAGTAGTAAATAGCAGATGAACATTAAGACTAGCTTTTACAGGATCACGAAAGAATAATCAAAGATTCTTCTTCACAACTTGCACGAAGTTGAGATAATGCTAGGTTTACACTTCCTTCTTTGACATTGCCTTTCATGGTCAAGAAAGGACCTTTGTCAGCAGCTCTACTGTCCAATGTGATTTTTCATATTTTGCTTAGGCAAATACAACAAAAAGGCTTTTAGAAACACTGTTCACTTTTTTCTTTTCTCCTACAAAAAGAACTTCATGTCTAACAATGTCTAAGAACAGACATCTTTTCATCCTTATAAATTAAGTAGTCAAAATGAAGTTGTATGTGCAGCAACAGATGTGAACACACTTGCTAGTGCAAAACTGAAATCCTCATGCACATGGTACTAAGTTTGAGGGTGGTAGGCTTTTTTTTATTTTGGGTTTGGTTTTTTTGTATTTTTTTTGTTTTGCTTAAATAAATAAAAATCTGTACTGCTGACCACCTATTTCCATTTTGCCTGCTTCACCTTTTATGGCTCTGTCTTACCGCAGACTATTGCATCATTTTTTTTACTTCCTTTTATTTTATGGGACAGTCGTTTTACCTTAGGAGCCAGCCTCGTAAGACCAAAGATAAATTTGCATACTCATCTAAAAATGGCAAAAACCCAACATTTAAATATGATAAAAATCAGGTCGATGCTAATCTTTCCCAGAGCACGAAAGAAACAATTCAGTCTTATTTACATTTTGTTACAAAACTCAGAAATAGTACATATCCAAAAATATTAACATGAGGCACAGAAGGTTTAAGCACTTTATATTTTTTGTGACATCTGCCAGCTTTCCCTGTGTAGTACGGAAGTTTCTTTTTAATATTTCTTGAAATTGTTTACCTTTACTATTTCCTTGCTTAAAGTTATTTGTTTTAAATATAGTTATATACACACACAATGAGGCAGACACCTGGTAACTATCTGTACCTAGCTATTTTAGCAAATACCACAGCAAAACATGACATATGGTTAAGTACATTTTAAAGTATTTATTTTGGGGAATCAGATATACACATAAGTATACATTTATTGGGGGGGGGATCAGATAAACATGTAGATATATGCTTGTATTTACAGTTGTCATTTTATATGACTAATTAGAATACTAGTCAAATTTTGCTTCAACCAGTTTCAGAAACAATTTTTTTTAAATCTTCTATCACGATTTTCATACCATACTAGAAGAATTTCTAGTAAACAGTTTTAAGTCATTTAACTCAATCTGCAAAATAACTAACCCTTTTTGTGCCCAACACCAAGCTAATCCTCTGGTGTGAACTCAAGTCTGATGATACATTAAGTTTGGCATCAGGGACCAGATCTAACAATCTCAGTTCAGTAGTATTTGCAAAAAGTTGAAGAGATTGCAATATCATAGTGATGACGGACTATTAAAAATGTTAGTGGTTTGATTTTTGTAATATAAGCTATTAAATTCTAAAGTTAGATGCATTTTTGCGGAGAAAAGTGAACACACTTTTGTTTGAGATGCAAGACATTTTCTAAATAGCTACAAGGACATTATATGTATATAAGCCTTCCATTAAGCGCTTGACTGATTTGCTTTTCTTTCTACCTCCAAAAGGTAAAAAAGTCTCCATAATTAAGGTATGCAACAATGGTTTAAATCTTCAAAGGCATAGGTTTGTTCTTCAAAAAAGTAACAAAATTTACTAAGATAATCTAAATTTTATTGGTATGTTCCTCACAATTTAAATATAACAAATCTAAGACAAGTTCTGTAACCAAGATATAGTTATAAGTAACAGCAAAAACAAACACTTGAGCACTCTTAAGAAAATGTCATAATCATAACGAACATTCATCTGTAATTCACATGCTGGCTCTTGTGATCACTTTACACTGAAGCAACATCTCACTATAAACACATCTGTAGCTAAGGGCAAACTTAAGGGTAGCTGTTCTCTAAATTATACCTCTAAGCTGGCAAAACTTGGCATCACACATTGTTTTCATTTAAATGAATATAAAAATTGTCATTTAGCAGTATTGCCCTAAGTTGTCCCAGGTGGTCCCTCAACAAAATATACAGCACTTCAGGGACACCATTTCAGCTTAATATCAACAGTTTATGAAGCCCAGAAAAGCCTTGTGCCTAAAAAAAGCAAATATTGATGGCTGGTTTCCTGTGTGAGCAGGCTTAAGCTGTGTTCTCTGCAGATGTGAAGAACATGAAACAAGGAAAACTTGTTTTTGAAACAAGGTACAAATTGATAAAGAATCCTTGCATAAAACCAACTGAATTTTCAAAGCACTTTTCCCCTATAGGAGAAGCCATGTTTCAAAGAAAAATGAAAGGAGGATACTCATAATGCTCCATTATGAGCATACAATCAGCTAAAGTTGAACCACTCCAATACTTCTTTTTTTCCCAGGGCAAAAGACAAAATTCAGAAGCTTTCTCTTATTTGTCAATAAACCAATTTTCACAGGCAAAAAACCCCTAAATTCATACAGATTTTCTATTTCTAAGTACTACTAGCTAATTTCTAGCCTACAAAATGATACTATTTGCAGTTCCTTTGTCTTCTGATGAAAATACAGCATAAACTATCATTAATTTAAAAACTGAAGTTGTATAGCTGCTCTTTTCTTCAGATTAGTTCAAAATTCCTCACGGGATTACTGACATCTACCAGACTAATACTTTTAAAAAATAAGAGATAAAAAAAACCCTCTAACTTTATTATAAAATTGAAATCGAACATAAAATCATGCAATTGTTTTCCAGTTTTAAAAGTCTGCTTCCACCACATTACACCTTGGCAAGATTCCACTGTAAATTAATACCAATTCTATTCAGCATTCATTAACGAACCACAATTTGTAATGCACATTAAAAAAATAATCAATTTGTGCCTTTCCTCCAGTTACTAAAGCAACTGAACACACATGACAAAACCACTGCTATGACACCCTTCCTGGCAACTCCAGACAGACCAAAAAAAGCACCGACAACGGAATTACCACATTACTTCTAAAGGTTCATAAAAGGAATTGCAGAACTCCAACATTAATTCCTCAGTGTAGGAAATCTGGCTGGAAGACCACCAGCCTAACAATTCACCAGAATTTCAACTTAGAAGTGTCTTCAGAATACAATCCTGTCTTACATAGATAGGATTTATTTTTTTCATGAAATTATTATTTCAGGCAATTATAAAATAAAGATCTCCAAGTCTGTGTATGTTTTACAGCTCTTATTACATGCACACTTAGTTATTTTCTGCAGCAGAATCTGCAGTACAAGACAGTGTAATAACTCTTCTGCCCACTTTTAGAATCAAGTATTATAAAAAGATCATGAGTTCTTAGAGAGAAAAGCTGAAGGCATCAAACCTGTACCAGATTACATACAACTTCATTTTAGTTTGCCTTGCCTCCCCAGAGTGGGGGTGGGCAGGGGAGGGAGGAGACATGGGTCAATGACATAGTGCTACTTCAGAAAAAATATCCCTGTGGCCCATTTCCTCTTGGTTCTCGCCATAATCCACTAGAAGCTAAAATATTTTTGAAAACCCATTTTGTGGTATATATTGACATTCATATGTAAGAATTCAGAAAACTCTCAGCTCCTTAAAATTCCTCCTTGGAGGGTTGTGTTATAATCCAAATAGGAGGTCTCACTTATTTTTGAAGTCTTACATCCCTCTTTCCGGTGGCGGTGTACTAATTTAAGTAGGTACATACCTCATCAGCCCAGCTTCTCTCAGATTTCCTCTCTCACTGCTCTTTTCCTCTGGGGTACACCATATACTAACAATCCTCAACATTTGTATCACAAACTGAAGGCTGCCTGGCCTGCTGGGCACAGCTATAAATAAGAATCACAGATCACCTTCTCCCAGTCTATAACTGTAAATGCATGACTGCACAACTAGAACCTGCAGAGACACACAAGCATCTCGTTTTCACCATTTACATCAGACTACTTAAATGCTCCTACATTAATTTCTATTTTTAGTTTCACACCAGCACCTGTTCTTGAGTTCACCTCCTTTACAGTTTGGTTGCAGCCTCCGTATCTTCAAGTACAAAGTACATACAAGACTATTAAAGTGGCATGCAAGGTAACGCTTCTACGGCCCAATCTCTCCTTTGACAACTAACACTTGATTTCCACAAGTAGGCATAAACCATGGACCGCTAGCTTACTAGAGAAAGTAGAACTTCGTATGAATAAGTGACCATGCAATAGGCTTTGCACTATCCACGTGAAAGCTTGATTAAGAAATACAGCAAGAGGAGGACTGCTCCTTAATAACTTTTAGCTTTACTTTACGTGTGTTTTCCCCCAGCTTGGTGTATAATTTTATTATTATTTTTATTTCTTTAATTTAGAGTAACACTTCTACTTCATGCTCTATTACTGTATGGACATTTTGAACTTTGGATTTAATTTACCACCAGAGATGACTTTGGGGTTCTTTTTCTATTAGCTAAAAAGATTAAGAAACATACATTACCTACTTAGTCATCTCTATGAAATGATGAACAACATTTGTAAAACTACACTTGATAAATACAAAATGATGCCATGAGTCATGCCCATCCCTCCTCCCCACCTCCCTTTTTAAGCTCTACTATTTACACTAGCTCCATCACCGCAAAGGGAAGGAAAGCATCCCCAGCAATCTCAAGTCCTCCCCGCAGTTCCAGGGACAGCTTAATTATTGAGTGCTCTTGGC